AAGGAAGGAAGGAAGGAAGGAAGGAAGGAAGGAAGGAAGGAAGGAAGGAAAGAAGGAAGGAAGGAAGGAAGATCCATGATCCATGATCTCTGAGATGAGGGATTTGAGGGAAAGCTCTACTTTAGACTTTCAGCACAATATCTGGCTGTGTATTTCTTCATCTGTTCCCACCTGGTGCCAAAGGAAGCATTTCTGATAATAACTGGATAAGGCATTGATCTATAGCAGAGTATCGTCAGGAATCATCATATTGATTGTTTTTAAAGATCTACTACAAGTGTTTGCTTGTACCCCAGGTCTCTGGGATAGCTAGTCTCCGGCTCTTGTTTTTCCAGGCAGAGTGTGATGTGTGTGCCTTCTCATGGAGTGGCCCTAAAGCCAAGTCAGATATTGGTTGGCTGCTTCTACTAGTTTTATGCTGCCATCGCCCTGGCATATTTTGCACAAGGTTTCCACTGTGCTAGACTTCCACATACCTCCAAGTGCCCATCAGCAATTTTGTCTATCTTTCCCTCCCACTCTCTTTCTCCACCTCACCCTCTTATCTGATTGCCTTGCTCCTGTCCCAACTACCCCAAATCTGACCATAAAATCTATTCTCTTTTTCTCTCCCAAGGGAGATCTCTGAAACCCCTGTTGCTTTTACTCTATTATTCTCTCTTTGTGTATGGACTGTAGATTGGTTATCATCTGCTTTATGGCTAATAACCCCTGATTATTGAATATATACTATATTTGACTTTCTGAGTATGGGTTACCTCACTCTGGGTGATTTTTTTCCTACCTCCATCCATTTCCATTTGCTTGCAGATTTTATGTTGTGATGTCATTTTTTAAATGCTGAGCAAATCTCTGTTGTGAAAATGTACTACATTTTCATTATGTATTCTTCAGCTGATAGACATCTATGTTGTTTCCAGTTTCTGGATATTGCAAATAAAAAAGCTATGAACATAGGTGAGCAATAGTCCTTGTGGTATGATAGAATGTTCTTTGAGTATATGCCCACAAGTGATGTAGCTGGATCTTGAGTTAGACTCCTATCTCTCTGATCAAATACCACACTGATTTCCACATCAGCTCTGCAAGTTTTTACTCTCACAGTAAAGAAGAGTGTTCCCCTTGTTTCACATTTTTTCCAAGAATGAGCTGTCATTTGTGTTATTAATCTTAGCTTTATTTAAAATTTAAGATGGAATCTCAAAGTTGTTTTAATTTGCATTTCCCTGATGGCTAGGGTATTAACCATTTCTTTAAGTGTTTCTGAGCCATTGGAGATTCCTCTAATGAGAATTCTCTGTTTAGATCTATATGCTATTTGTAAATAGGACTGTTTGGTTGATGAATCCTTTCTTGGATTCTTTATGTATTTTGGATATTAGCACTCTATCAGATGTAGAATTGCTGAAAATATTTTTTGTGTGTGTTATAAGCTGGTGTTTTGTCCAATTGATGGTGCTCTTTGCTTTGCAGAAGCTGTTCAGTTTCATAAGGTCCCTTTTATTAATTGTTGATCTTAGTGACTATGCTATTGGTGTTCTGTTCAGAAAGTTATCTCCTGTGCCGATAGATTCAAGACTAGTCCCTATTTTCCCTTTTATCGTTTAGTGTGTCTGTTTTTATGTTGAGGTCTTTCATCCCCTTGGACATGAGTTTTGTGCAGGGTGATAAATATGGATCTATTTGCGTTTTTCTACATGCAGACACCCTGTTAGATCAGCATTGTATGTTGAAGACGCTTTCTTTTCTTGTTGTTTCTGGCTTCTTTTTCAAAAATCACATGTCCATGGATGTGTCTGGGTCTTTGTTCAATTTCATTTATCAACTTGTAATGTTTTAATGCAAATACCACATCAGTTTTACTATCAGAATTATATTAATATTAATAATAATTAAGTATTATATCAATAATTATTCATTAATAAATTTATTATTATTATTATTATTATTATTATTATTATTATTATTATTATTATAGCTCTCTAATACAACTTGAAATTAGGGCTATTGATTCCTCTGAAGGTTTTTATTTTTTTTAATTTTAGGATTGTTTTAGTTATCCTGTCTTTTCATTTTCTTTTTTTTCATATGAAGATGAGTAATGTCCTTTCAAGGTATATAAAGAATTGTGTCTCTGACATGAACTCAGTTGCTGCCTTTTTTAACCACCTCCCTATGGGGCTACATCCTTGCCAGGCCACAGAGGAAGAGAAAGCAGCCAGTCCTGATGAGACCTTATAGGCTAGAGTCAGATGAAAGGTGGAGGAGGACCTTCCCTGTCACTGAGCTGGGAAGGGGCATGGGAGGAGAAGAGGGAGGGAGGGTAGGATTGGGAAAGGACAAGGGAGGGGGCTACAGCTGGGATACTAACTGAATCAATTATAACAAATTAAAAAATGAATTAAAAGTCCAAAAAAAAAGAATAGTGTTGAAATTTTGATAAAGATTGCATTGAATCTGTAGACTGCTTTTGGTAGAAAGTCCATTCTTACTGTTAATTATAATGATCAATGGCATGGGAGATTCTTCTATCTTCTGATAGCTTCTTCAACTTCTTTCTTTAAAGACCTGAAGTTTTGTTTTCTGTTTTTGTTTTGTTTTTTGTTTTTTATTATACAAGTCTTTTACTTGCTGGCTTAGGGTTACCCCAAGATATTTTATATTGTTTGTGACTATTGTAGAGAGAACTGTTTCCCTGATTTCTTCCTCAGTCCATTTTTCACTTGTATATAGGACAACTAATGATTTTTTCTTTAGTTACTTTTATATCCAGCCACATCACTGGAGGCATTTATCTTCTGTAAGAGTTCTCTGGCAGAATTTTTGTCTTCACTTGTGTATTATATCTTATCATCTGTCAATAATGGTACTTTCACTTCTTCCTTTCCAATTTGTATCCCTTGATATCTTTCAGTTGTTTTATTTTTCTAGCTTCAAATATACTATAGAGAGTGAACAGCCTTGTCTTGTTCCTAATGTTAGTGGAATTGCTTTGAGTTTCTCTCCATTTAATTTCATGTTGCCTATAGGCTTGGTGTACATTTCCTTTATTATGTTTACATATGTCCCTGTATCACTGATCTCTCCAAGACTTTTGTCATGAAGAGGGGTTGGATTTTGTCATTATCCTTTTCTGCATCTAATGATATGCTCATGTTGGTTTTTATCTTTCAGTTTGTTTATATGACAGATTACATTGATTTATTTTTTAATATTTTGAACCATCCCTACATTTTTGGATGAAACCTACTTAAAAATTGTAGATGATCTTTTTGATGTGTTCTTGGATTCAGTTTATGAGTATTTTGTTGAGTAATTTTGAATCTATGTTCATAAGGGAAATTGGTCTGTAATTCTCTTTCATTGTTGAATCCTTGTGTTTTGGTTTCTGAGTGACCATGAACTCATAAAATAAATTTGACACTGTGCCTTCTGTGTCTATGTTGTCAAATGATTTGAGGAGTATTGGTGTTAAGTTTTCTTTAAAATCTGGTAGAATTCTTTGCTATAACTGTCTTTTTGTTTGTTTGTTTGTTTGGGAGACTTTTGATGACTGCTTCTATTTTCTTGGTGGTTATAAGTCTATTTATATTGTTTATCTGTCCTTGATTTAACTTTGGTAAGCGGTATCTATTGAGAAGATTATCCATTTCTTTTTATATTTTCCAGTTCCATGGAGTGCATAATTTTAATAGATGACCTAAATCACCCTATGGATTTCATTATTATCTATCGTCATGCTCTCTTTTACATTTCTGATTTGGTTATTTTGGATATTCTCTCTTTATCGTTTAGTTATTTTTAATAAGGGTTTGTATATCTTGTTGATTTTCTCAAAGAACCAACTCTGTGTTGATTCTTTATACATTTTGTTTTTGTTTCTATTTTTATTGATTTCAGCTATGATTTTTATTATTTTCTGCAGTCTACTCTTCTTGAGTGTGCTGGCTTCTTTTTAATCTAGAGCTTTCAGTTTGTGCTATTAAGTTGCTAGTATGAGATCTTTCTTTTTTTTTTTTTTTTTGATTTTATGTAGTCACTTAGTACCATGAAGCAATCCTCTTGTCACCACTTTCATTGTGTTCTATAAGTTTGAGTATTTTGTGCAGTCATTTTCTTTGAAATATAGAAAGCCTTTTAACTTCTTTATTTCTGTCTTGACCCATTTTTCATTGAGTAGGGAATTGTTCAGTTTCCATCAGTTTGTAGGCTTTCTGGTGTTTCTGTTGTTGCTGAAACCTAGCTTTAATCTGTGGCTGTCTGAAACAATTCAGAAGGTTGTTTCAATTTTCTTTTATTTGTTGAGACTTGCTTTGTGACCAAGTACACAGCCTATTTTGAAGAAAGTTCTGTGAGGTGAGAAGATGGTATATTCTTTTGTGTTTGGATGAAATGCTCTGCAGATATCTGTTAGATCCATTTGGTTTATGGTATCTGCTAGCTCAGTGTCTCACTGTTTAATTTTTTGTCTGGATAACCGGTCATGACCTGTTAATTGGTGAGAATGAGGTATTGAAGTCTCCCACTATCAATATGTGATAGTCAATGTATGTTTTAAGCTTTAGTAATATTTTACAAACTTGGGTGTCTGTGTATTTGGGGCATAGATATTAAGAACTGATATGTCATCTTGATGAAATATTTCTTTTATGGGTATCCTTTCTAGTCTCTTTTTATTAGTTTTGTTTTGAAGTCTATGTTTGTAGACATTCTGCACCATCTTGCTGCATAGGTCCATTTGCATGTATGTTTTTGGTGCTGATGTGTGTTTCTTTTATACATCAGAAGAATGGATTATGGTTTTGCATCCATTCTGTTAATCTGTGTCTTTTTATTGGGGAATTAAGTCCATTAATAATGAGAGATATCAATGGTCAATGATTATTTAATCTTGTTTGGTGGTGGTGATGGTGGTGGTTGTGGTTGTGAGAGAGAGAGAGAGAGAGAGAGAGAGAGAGAGAGAGAATGTGTGTATCTTTAAAAATATGGAATGCTTTACTAAATTGCTTTTCGTCCTTGCTCAGTGGTGATGCTAATGTTCTCTGTATAGTTAAAATTTTAGTATATGTGCTGCTAAAGTGAGCACCATGTAGTTGTTTTCAAACAATTAAAAAACAGTGCCAAGAAAAATAAATATCAAAGAAATAAAACTGTCAAGCAAAAAATGAGATAATCAATTGAACCAACAGTTTTCAGAACAAGAAACACAAACGGCTTTTAAAAAGCTGTTTAAAGAAGGGACAAACATCCCTAGCCATCAGGGAAATGGAAACTTAAATTACTTTGAGATATCCTCTCACTCCAATCAGGATGATTATCATCAAGAAATATAACAAATGTTAGAGATTCATTGCTGATGCCATTGTGGAAATCAGCTTAGAGGTTATTTAAAAAATAAAAATAAAAATTCCATATGACTCATTTGTTTTACTTTTGAGTGTATAGATCCAGAGAATTTCATGCTCTACTCCAGAGTTTTTGCACTCCAAGTTTATTGCTGGATTATTCACTATAGCAATAATATTGAACCAACAAACCTGTGCATCAAAAAGAATGGCTAATGAAAATTGAATACATAATTAAAATGGAATATATGCAGCTCTAAAGAAAAATGAAGTCCAAAACTTGCATGAAAGTAAATGAACTTAGAGTATATATTGCATAATAAATGCCATGGAATCTCAGAAGAAAAAAAAAAAAGGTACCAAAACCCAAGGTTCTTTATCATATGTGCATACTAGCCTGAACGGTATATATGTATATATGTAAACAATTTTGCTTGTAGGTATATAGTAACATATAGACCATTAAACAAAAAAGGTTCACTGATGTGAACTCAGTGGCTGGCTCTTTGATCATCTCCCCCTGAAGGGGGAGCATCCTTCCCAAGCCACAAAGGAGAACAATAAAACCAGTTCTCATCAGACCTGATAAATTAGGGTCAGATGGAAGGAGAGGAGGACCTCCCCTTCAGTGGACTTGGAGAGGGGCATGGGAAGAGACGATGGAGGGAGGGTGTGATGGGGAGGTAATGATGGAGAGGGGTACAGCTGGGATACAAGTAAATAAACTGCAATTAATATAAAAATAAAAATTTAACTAAAAAAGAAAAGAAAAAAGGTTAATTAAAATAAGATACGTACAAATTAGTACACTATGTTTTACTTCTTGCAAGTTCTTTGAGTGATCGCTTTGGGTTTAGCATAGTGTCAGTACAAAACAGGTCCTGATATGGGCAGTGTCCACATGTAATTGCATGACCTTATGGGAAGATCTGAATTTTAAGCTAAGTCTTTAATAGTTCTTCTATTCCTGTTATTTGTAGAGCTTTGTAAGTACTACCAAACTTAAGTATTTTGTCCTTTAAACATGGATTTTAGTTATAAAATTAGAATATAATAGTTATTAGGAATGTATTTCTAATAAGTATAATTTTGAAATGGCTATGAATTCCTAGGAACACTGGTTCTCAAATTTTAACACACAAGAATTTTCAAAACATAAAGAAATAACATTTATTAAATATAGAAAGCAGTGTTCATTACAGAACACAGTGGTTATTAATAGAGGGACCATGAATGCCAATTAATGCTTCTTTCCTTCATTTGTATCACCTCTAAAATTAAAGGGGCTCTATATAGCGTAACTAAAGTTCTTCCCTCTGAATATTGGAATATCCAGTTTTGGAAAGAGTGTATACACACAAAATACACACCTGTACTTATGTGCCTAATATTAAGTAATCACAATATAATCATGAGTAGGAATGCCCACCTTTTCTAACATACTAAACATGTTCTCCAAGGTATACGTCAGTAAGAACAAATCTTAAGTGCATTTCTAGATGATCTCATCTATGGAAGGAGAGAAATAGGAGTTACATCATCTGGTGACTTCTGCAAAGTTCTTTTTTAAATTTTTATTTTTATTTTTTTATATTAATTACGTTACTCACTTTTTGTCCCCACTCTAGACTCCTCCCTCATTGTCTCCCAATTCTGCCTCACTTCTGTCCTCTCCTTCCATGCCCCTTCCCCAGTCCACTGATAGGGGTCCTCCTCCTCTTCCTGACCCTATCCTATCAGGTCCCATCAGAACTGGCTGCATTGTCTTCCTCTGTGGCCTGGTAAGGCTGCTCCCCCCTCAGGAGGAGATGATCAAAGAGCCAGCCACTGAGTTCATGTCAGAGACAGTCCCTGTTCCCATTACTAGGAAACACACTTTGAGACTGAGCTGCCATGGGCTACATCTATGCAGGGGTTCTAGGTTATCTCTGTGCATGGACTTGGCTGGAGTATCAGTCTCAGAAAAGACCCCTGTGTCCAGATATTTTGACTCTGTTGCTCTCTTGGTAGAGCTCCTGTCCCTTCCAGATATTTCTATCTCCCCCTTCATTCATAAGTTTCCCTGCACTCTGCCCAAAGTTTGGTTATGAGCCTCGGCATCTGTTTTGATACCCTGCTGGGTAGTCTTTAAGTTTGGTATTGTCCTATCATACTCTACATTGTCTTACAGCCCTTTTGATGGGGTTGGTAATGGTCACCATGACAGAGTGCTGCTAAGAAACTAAGTTGTTTCCTGTTTGCTGACCATCTAATATTTGCACTTATTCAAAAAAATTTGAGGCATCCTTTTATAGAAAAGGCCCTGGTCATCTAGCATATCCAAGAAACTCTTCAATAAGGATAATAATAGTTCTGTTATAGTGTGTGCCTGTAGTTGCAATTAAGAGGCTCTCCAAAGGACATTTTTGTAGGTTTTGACTTTGTACAATACACCCTGTCTTTTATAACAAACCCTTGACAAATATTTGCTCTTACTTGCTTCTGCTGGTGAAGGAAATTTGTTTGATATAGCCATTTCAGGGAGTGATTTTTAGCCCAGTTCCCAAATACCTGGACCAGGAGAAGAATTGCAAAGTTGCTTGATAATAAGAAGCAATGAGCTTTTTGGTTGTGATTGGGAAAAATCCCTCCTTCATTTGTCTTTATTCAAATAGGTGACTTTTTCAAAGTCAAACTTAATTGAGGTGGATTCTCAATTTTATTGTATGTTGACCAAATCTGTTTGAATAAATACCCAACTACTGTAAATGTTCATCTATGAAACATAGAAAATCAGGTATGTGAAATGCTCTGTATGCTATGACATGTATTATCTTAGCTGTTACATGTCATTTTACAGTCTAAACTAACAATAATGATAATGAAGAAAAGCCAAAGCATTCTATTTACAGAAGAGATTATCAGACCCTATTTGCTTAACATTTTGAGCATGAATTCTAAAAGCCTTGATGAAAATAATTTGGAAGACATAGACCAAGTTCTCATGATGTTTTTATTAAATGGGGTTAATAAATGAATGGAAGTCATTGTGATGTCCGTGTGGGAAGACCGTAAGTTAGCGCCACCACTGCAGAGCAGAAATATTTAGCCTCGTATTTACGAAAAGTCTTCTTCAACAAGACAAAGAAAGTCTTAAAGAAGTTTTGAAGTGAAGTAAACAGAAGTAGACAGGAAGATATTTTAGTGGGAGAAACATAGAAACGTAGATAGGAAAACTCATGGTGAGTTCTCCGCCGAGGATTTCCCATGATTTGAAGTCATGGTGCATGGGTTGTGAACACTGGATCTGATTTCCCAGTAACACTCACACAGTAAAAACATAATTTGTTCCTTCTGAAGTTAGGAAGACAATAGGAAGTTTTGAAATGTAGAATTCCTGTAACAATATTATCTCTTTGGAGAAATTGCATGTCCACTTAGGGGTGATAGCTGAAGAATGAAAGAGGAAAAAACTATTTAGAGGGCTGGGATAAGGGAGTTTGAGAGGTGATTCTGGGTATCACAACAGGAGAAATAAAGCTGAATTGCACTGAAATACTAGACAATACAAAGACTTGAGACTGACAAGAGAGTGGTAAGAGACAAACCATACTATACTGGCTCACTGATTGGTCAGAAGGAGGAGATAAAGGAACAGGGAGTTTTATTTAGTCTCTGAATTTTCTGGGCTTGTCAGATCATAATCTCTCTGAAAACTTTGAAGGCAAAGGTGCTGATTTAGTTGCTGCTATGTTTGCATTGATGGCTCTTAAGGTATCAGTCACAGTCACAATCTGGAGATTAGGAAAATAGATAAACCTCAATGTGTTAAGTTCCCACTGTGATTACACATTCAGAAACTGCCATGAAAATCACATAAAAAACAAATATTTGTGGAAATTTTACTGTTTTTCACTTTGATTTAATTATGATTGGCAATTATAGGGTCTTTTGCACCATAGGTATAATTTTAAGAGCCTAGTGTACTTTAGTGATTTATTTCAGTGTTTCCAATAGCTTTAAAACAGTCAATTAAAGTCATACTATTTTAGATTTTAAATTGATCAGTCAAGTTAAATAAAACCATTTTTTATCTACTACTATCACCACCGTCACTTTTAAATTTAGCATTTTGAATTGTACTTTGAAATGAAGATGTAGGTCTGTTTTAACTTTTTACCATGTAATAAAATTTGTGATTCAAGGTTTCTTCCAAATAAATGGGCTTGGCTTAAAGACAAGTCATGTCAAACAAGAATTTCCACATTTTAAAGCCCCACAGGAATCTGTCTTGGTGGAATATAAATCATGTCTTTATTTTTCAGAAGGTTATTAAGAGCCAGGTGACTAGACTAGGCATCAGTATAATGTAAAAAATAAATATTATTATTACTGTACATTTGTTTCATTAACAACAGGATAAATTCATGATTACAGATTTTAAAAGCATATATTTTCTTTTAGCATACATCAGAAATTTTTAAAACCTGAAACAAATTTCAGCATACACAATTTTTAATCTTAAACTTCACGTTAGTCAGTGTTTTTTAATGCTTATATTTTTCATGAATTTAACTTAAGCATTCAAAATGGTCAACTATTTTATACAGAGAGTTCATTTAATTTGTTATGATGATTATGACATATTTTGTATATTTATATAAGTTATTATACATATAAATTATAATATACTTTTATATTATATTATACATATTATATATTAAATATATTTTATATACTTGATATGTAAATTAATTTTTTC